TCTGGCACATCACTTGATTTTATAATAATAATAAATAATTTATTGCGAAATGAACATTATGAAGGCTATGAATCTGTTGGAACACAACGTTCAACTAACTAAGGTTAAGTTTTGCAATTAAACGAACAATTTTTTGTATCAAATTACAAACTTATGCAGAAACAAAGTTTAACTATAATCAATATTATTGCACAATTTGTGTAGATATATTAAATATCTATTTTGAAAATTAAAATTGGATATAAGAAAAACAAGTGGTACATTGGTGCATATCATCGAGCTTTAAGGCAAATGGCTGGAACTTCCCGTACCGCAATGAAATATTCGAGAAATAGTAAATGCTTTCAAATAGATTATTATAAATAATAAAGTAATTACAGTAAATTGTAACTTTCATGTTTCGTATTTCATAGACAAAGTTAATCAATTGGACGACGACGACGTTTACATATGTTTAAATGAAAAGTAAATAGAACATCATATCAAGGGAGTTAGAATGAAGAAACTTATCTCATATTTCTAAGAATTATATAAACCAAATTGCAAAGTTAAAAGTATTTATTTCAAGTATATAGGTGAACTTCATAATTTTAACTAGAATTAAAATTAAAATCCAATTATTTTTAATATTTAAAAAAAAAATGGATTTTTTTTTGTGAATTTGAAATAAAAAAAAATATCTTTCTCACAAACTATAATAGTTTCTTCACAAGCAAAATGTTTTTTGAATCATCGAATTGCATGCTTTGTTTCCTCCTTCAATTTTTTACACTTTTAGCTTTTTTTCTCTGAAACGCCTGGGCCTGTCTTTGCCAAAAACTAATCACCACATCTTTTCATCATTACGAATTGAATGTATTTTGGATTATTCAAATCTGATTATCTGGTCTCTCAAAAACTTTATATACATTTTCTGCACTTTTTGCTTTATATCTCAGAAAATTTATATCTCAGAAACGACTTGTAAGGCAAGTTATAGTAATCGCAAAAAATCGAAAATAAATTTTTTTATATATCTTTACGTTTCAAAGGTTTCTGAATATTTTGGCATACCTTAGAAAAAATGGATGTATGTGTGTGTGTATGTGTGTGTGCGTGTGTGTGTGCGGATACAAATTTTAGTCGACGATTTCGGGAACACCAATCAACTGATTTGAATAATTCAAAAAACATTCGATTTGTATTGATAAGGTACGTGCTGATTAGTTTTTGGCAGGTCTTGCCGTTCCGAAGATACGGGGCAAAAAGTGTAAAAAATGGTAACTCAGTTTTTAAGAGAACGGAGCGTCCGATTTTAATAATTCAAAATTTGGCTGTCAAAAATGTTTATTGGACATATGTACATCAAATTATCAGATATTTTATAGAGATGTCACTATTGTGTTCACATTTTGTGTATTTTTTGGGTTCCGTACCAAGATTTTTAATTTTGAAGTTTATTTTTCTCGACATTTTTGACAGTATGGAATAACCGATTTGTATGATTAAAAAATCATTCGATTCGTACTCGATCACGAGGCGTTTTTGCAAAGGGCAATTTTGCCGTTTCGAAGGTATGGAGTGCGCAGGGTGTAAAAACGGTTAAGCAGTTTTTGAGGAACGGGTTATCCGATTAGATTAATTCAAAAAACATTTTGCTTGAGTAAATGCTATGCAAAAAATGCATTTACAGAAAATTTAGTATTTTTGTGTAATTTTCAAAAAAAAATCAAAATTTTCAAAAAATCAAGGTTTCAAATAATTCAAATTTTTGAAATTTTTCATCATTTTTTTTTAAAAAACTAAATTTTGAAAAATTTTAAGTAAAATATTTCTTACAAAAATTTGAGAATATTTCGAAAATTTAAAAAAAATCGAATATTTTAAAAAATTTCCAAATTCCCAAAGTATTTAAAAAACGTTTTTTTATTCCAAAAAATTCAAAATTTGGAAAAAATTGTAAATTAGCAAATCTAATTAAAAAAAATTGTCTCTTGCAAACGTACACATAAGTTGTTTAAAAAATACGTTCATCGCCCAATTTAAAAAGCACTTATAAATTTACAGTATGTATTTAATAAATAATCTATTTGAATTTTTTTAAAACAATTATTGATTATTTTCTTTCTTCGAATTTTTAATTGCGGTACGGGAAGTTCCAGCAATTTGCCTTAAGGCACGATGCCATGCACCCCACTAGTTGAATAATTCATATCGGTTGAGCTCCCGGAAACGTCGTCCAGTCCGAAAAATTATATCCACACATGCATACATATGCACAAACACTCGCGCACACACATGCATTTTTTCTAAGGTATGCCGAGAATTATTCAAAAGATATGCAAAAAAAATATTTTCGATTTTTTGACGATTACTATAACTTACCCTATGCGAAGTAGGGTGGAGGGTGCAGTATGAGTATGTTTGATGGCCATTTGTGACTGAAGATTCCACCATGTGTCAAACTAGTAACATATGCAGATGATGTAACCATAGTGATTATTGGTAAAGACATTGATTGTAAGTTTATTTGACATAACTTTGATTAAAATTGATCACTTAATTAATTAATTATTTAAAGCTGTTCTTATTACAAGTAGAATTATAATAGAGACCATCAAGCGGAAGATAGGTAATCTAGAGATAGCATCAAAATCTTGCATTTATTACCTAGGGGTAATGTTTGATTCTAGATAAAATTTCAATCAATAGATGAAACACGTTAGTGCTAAGGCGTCAGTAGCTAGGACGAGTCTTGCTCGGCTGGTGACTAATGTTGGAGATCAAAAACAAAACAGAAGAATATTTCTAGCTTTAGTGGTTACTTCGGTTCTGACATATCGTATTTCGATATGAATTGATACTATCAAGATTTGCATGAATTTGCAGGACCAATAGACTTGCAAACTTCGGAAAGAAAGGCAATAATTAGAAGAATTCTCCCCCATAAATTAATGCCTAAGCTTTTCTTCGGAACAGATGCAAGGCTGGTCAAAGACTTAGCCTGGGATGCATAAACGCATTTCCTTGGCTATACAAAAAAACCTTAAGGAAAGTTAAAAATCTAAGGCTGAAATCTAAAGCCTATTTGAACCACGGTTTTTTACAGTTTTATTAATGAATATTTTATAATAAAATGTCTAAGTATAATTTTACTCTATTACTATTGACATTTATAATATCACAACTAGAGAACTAATGAAACTTGTTAAAGGTGGCATTTTACTTTAAGACAAGTTGCAAAAACTTCCCGGTAGATGTAATATGAACTTAGTTAACCGAAATGGAGATTTAAATGTTCAGGTAAAATTTTCGACTGTTTATTTCGAAATTAAAGTTTTCGCTTTCAATTAAAGCTAAACATTATGATTTCTAATTGACATTTCTCAAGCACCTTTATATATAATTATATTAACTCTAGCGCAGAAACACGTGTTGGTATGTTCTATAATTGTTATTCTAAATTTTAATTAATTCATATAATTCAACCCATTTTTGAAGGATTTTTTAGTCCATGAACTCTACCGCCATGCTAAATTCCATAAAAAACGTCTAAACATTTTTTTAAAAAAACATAATAAGTTATTTTGCGAAATATAAAGCATCTGCTATAAGACAATATTGGCACTATTACAATTATCATCTACGTAGCCCTTGATATTATATTTTTTGCGCAACTAGAGCAGTTTTGTTGACTGCTCTTTAGGTGATACTATTTTTAATCATTAATTAATTTTTGTGAATAATGCACAAATCTAAACACTTGAGATAGCAATTTTTTTGCTAATTTAAAAAAAATGGTCCATCCTTTTGAAAGGTTTTATTTTATTCCAATGGCTTTTAAATTTGTGAAAATGGTTCAGCCCTTTTTAAGAAATCGTTGACAATATTAAATTTTTTTTGACACAAAATATTTTTGCAAACATTGATGCATTTTCAAATTGGTCATAATTTCATCAAAGCTCTAGATTGCACTTAAAAGCAGATAATTTCCAAACAACGTTGGTCAATTTTTTTAACTTCCCGAAGGAGAAGTTTATGTTTTCATAAGAAAATCCGAATTGCTATTTTTATGTTTTTTCGACGTTTCAAGCCATTCTGAATCGAATGAGACCAAATTTGGAAAAAGTATGTATGTGTGTGTGTGTGTGTGAACAGATGTTCTCTAATTTGTTTCACTACAGTTAATGTCAATACTATCACCCCGTTTTGGCTTGAAATGTAGGAATCATTCGGATAACAAAGTCCAGGCCCTTGACCAATATACACGCAAAATATACTGATCCACTCATAGATGTATTTAGAACCCTTTTTATTACGCTAAAAACTGAAATGTAATTTTTTTAAAGAATGGTAAATACTATTATATTTTTGTCGCATAAATGCAATACACTGTTCTATTTCTTTATGTTACATATAAATGTACTGTTTTGAAATATTTAGAAAAGAAGTGTAACACCCAAGATGTAATTAGAACCCTTTTTATTTCGCTAAAAACTGATATGTGATTTTTTTAAAGCATGGTCAAAACTATTATAAATACAAGACACTGTTTTATTTTTTTATATTACATATAAAAGTACTGTTTTAAAATATTTAGTAAAATTAATACCCAAGTGTAGACAACTTATGTACTAGGGTTTGTCGGTTTTCAAAAATCGGTTCTGAAAACCGGTTTTTTGACGAAAATTATGGAATTCGAAAACCGGTTTTTTAGTAGAAAAAGTCGGTTTTCGGTAATATATATTATGAACGTCCTATTCGGATTTCAGAGATATTTTATTTTAATAGACCTATTTTTGGAAAAGCTCGATCTATTACATTGCAGAAATATAATAGCGGTAACAAGAAAAAAGAAAAGTCATATAGGTGAGGTTTTGTAATTCGGGCAAATTATTTTTTATTATGAGAAGCAAAATCTAAGATACGAAAATTTTATCCAATAAATAAATTTATTATTTTTTATCTGCCATACATAATTATTCATATGAAAATCAAATTTAGTAAAAAATTGTACTTACCATCTCAGATACGAATAAAAACCTTATACCACTTAACACTTCTTAGCAACTTTTTCACTTTAATAACTTTTGCAGTTTCTATTGTATTTGCTAAATGTAATTGTTAAATGATAAACGCCATAAAATTAGATAAATATGATAATCATTAACGTGTACTCGCGACAATGGTTCACATTCGACTGAATCAGTAAATAAACTTAAGCATTACGTATATACCCACTGTCTGTCGTATGAAACTGCACATAGACCGGATCGCGAATGATAAAAAGAAACACCAATTTGTGTGTCGATGCTGGTTTTATATAGTTGTATATGTTAAGATTGGTACGTAAAATTTAACGACTGATATTTTTTTATGATTTCCTCTTAACAATATTGCCGGTTTTTAAAATATTTTTACGCAATAAGAATTTTTGGTAATTTGAAATTTTATAGCACACGTCATGTAAAATATGGTAGGTAAATATTTTTATTAGACTAGAGAGGTTTATATATATACAGGGCCGGTCCTGATGTCCTCAGCGTCAGCATGCAAGAATTGTTCTAGACCCCCCAATAATTTTAACGGTTTTGACAGTTTTTCATTGAAATGATATAAACATTTACGGTAATTTTTTAATTAATTTTAAATCATTCTGGATTTAGTACACAAAAAATTAGGTATAATCCAAAAGCGTATAAAATACATTGATTTTAAATTTATTTAGAAAATCGAGGCGATTTGCAGGTTGATATTAATATTTGGGTTTTGAAACATTTAACTTATTTATTACGCGATTTATTCTATAAACTTGGATACTCTACATAACACTCGTATTTCATGTTTTAAGTTAAATTTTATTTTAATTTATTTTTTCATTTACAATATCCAAAATTGCATCGTAAACCTTTCCTATCGTATTTAGCTTTTATTTATCGTATTGTCCAAAGATAAGTAAAAGATGCAAAGATATTACATATTTCCTGAACTATACTGAAACGAACTAATTATATTTATATCAGTAATACTTCTGCATAGTTAATAATTAAAGTATGTATAAAAAAGCTTAACGATTTTTGTTCCTAAGAACATTTTGCTTCCATTTTTCATAATCCTAACTTCATAATCCATCAGGTGTGAAACATTTGCAACAAAAACAAAAGTTACAATTTAATTTTTCGGAATAAACAAACCATTTTCTAAGAACTGACTCCCCATTTTCCATTTTCTTTATTAGAATTAGTATATATTTCGTTAACAAATTCCATTTCAACTAAATTAGCTCACCATTTTTCACCAATAACACCCAATAATTGATTTAAACTTTCGCAGGTTTGCTCTTACGGGATTGAACACTAAATAATTTCTTTTCTGATTCTACTTTAAGTTCAAACGAAGAAAAAAATTGATAACTACATTAAACAATAAGCAGAACAATAATTTACAAATTTGCAGAGTTATTATTTGGTCAATTGTTTCTATTGATATCAAATTGCAAATAGTTAAGTTGGATTGTTTATTATAATCTATTACGTATTTTAAATTTTATATTTAAATATATATATATATATATATATATATATATATATAATATACTATAAATTCTATTTCCGAGCCTCGATTTGGCGCCCCCAAAGACGTGCGCCCGCATTTTTTGCATGCATTGCATACAAGGTAGGATCGGCCTTGTATATATATATATATATATATATATATATATATATATATATATATGTGTGTTTAGTTTGAGTTGAAAGTCGGGCGTTACGTTAATAAAAATTGTATGAGAGTTTTTTAGAAATTTATTTATTTAAAATCCATACATTTCGGCTAGCATCCTAGCCTTCATTCAGTGGTAGTCAATTTAAAAGTTTGTATCCTAATATTACATATGAAACCATTATCAATCCATGGTATGAGTATGTGCACATTGATAAGATATATATTAAAACATTCTAATAACCAAGATAACTTGACAAGTTGTCGAAACTATGTATTTACTGTTTGGAGTTTAAGATTTAAGTGTATATATATATATATATATATATATATATATATATATATATATAATATCTTGATAGTTTTTTCGACGTTGAAACATATTTCAAAGTAACTAGCAGCTCATTCGTTGATATAAAAAAAGTAATAAAGTATTTAAAAACTTTTATTTATACGTTTCGAACCACGAGCGTGTCATCATCCAGCAACTATAATAAATTTGAAATTGTTTATTAATAATAAAAAACAATTATAAAATAATTATAAACATAGAGAAACATTATAGATACCATCAGGACCAAAACACTTAAAAAAATATTTTTTAAAAAATTAAACTTGTAACATATTAGAAGAGGACATTTTTTTGGAAAAAATAATGAATAACTACAACATTAAAAACATCTTGAAAAAAGTTTTATGTACAACACCAATGAAATATTTACATTGAAATCAGATGCTTCGTTATCTAACAATCTGTATTACCATATTTTGCCCCGTTTCTTCGAAACGTCTGGATATGCCAAAATTAATCAGCACGTACACAACGTACATAAGTACGCAACATACAAACATACTTACCTCAATTTTTTGTAATTGTCAGAAGTACACAAAGATTTGGAATGCAAATCTTTCATTTTCGATTTGTTTGCGATTACTATAACTTATAATATGACAAACTGAAGAAGGTACGTCCTGATATGATTATTGTTTTGCGTCCCCATTTTGCTCCAATTTAAAATTTAAATTTGTTGGTAAATTGTCCATATTTCTTCTGCTAACTAGACAAGTCTTACATGATTTGCAAGACTATAATTGGCAGAGTTTATGCCGATTTTCGGCAATTTTTGAGTCTTGAGAGCATCAGCCCATCTAGAAATACCATACGTCGGTAATGTGGTAACCACTAAATATAGTAAAATCCTTCTTCTATGTTTTGGGACCTCAACATTAAGCATCAACCGAGTGAGACTAGTCCTGTTGAGTGTTCTACCTGTTGATTATAATATAGTCGAGAAACAACCATTACCCCTAGGTCACAAGTGTAAGATCTTGATGCAATCTCAAGATTTATTATCTTCAGATTGATGGTCTCTATTACTTATTTGTAAAAAGGAACAGCTTCACTCTTTTGTTGCACCAATTGAAGATTAATTGTTTTCATTCGGTAATTAATTTAACAACCAAAATGACCACATCATCTGCATCTGCTACGTTTGACATATTGTAGAATCTGCAGTCTCAAGAGGCTATCATACATGATACACTACAGGTTATATTATATTCTTCAGTATCATATCACTATACTGGTATACTGGCAAGTTCTTTTCACGAAGTGCATTCATAATGCAATCCTAGTGCATTCATAATGCAATGCTTGCGGAATTAGGAGCATTCTTAAAGTCTAAGGTATCTACTAGGCTGTACTCTTATGCATCGCTTTATATGGTTCTGGTAATTGCTTCCTTGGCAGTATTAACTACTAAATTCACATCATTATTAGTCGATCGTCCTTTGCGAGAATTACACTGTTTGTTTGGTAAGGATAATCTATTCTTTAGTGAATTATTTTTTCAAAAATTTTATCCGCTCTATTCAGTATGCGGTAGGATGACGGTTTGTCCGATACTCTACTATTTTCAACCAGATGGCAGGCTTCCATAGGCTCAGTGTTATAGGTGTGATATCGTATAGATCAACATGTGCTGTGATCAAGTTGCCGTGGGAACGATATAGTTAATTCTATTCAAAAGTAGTGGGCAAGTTGGTGAAACCAATGGCTGCCTTTTGAAGCGAGACATTACAATCTTATAAGACTTCCCCATGGGGCTTCATCAAATTTGTATATAAGTTCTTTTACTATTCTTTATAGCTTACTTTAGTTGCCGGCGTGCCTGTTTATATTCAACTACTACTTATGCAGAGTTTAAGAGACTATAGCAACACTAAGAGATTTTTCTTTTCCCATGACACTCTTTGCACAAAAAGTTTTTTGTTCCATCAGCGCACAGACTGTCTTTGATTTATGCTGACATCACAGTCTTCGATCATTCCCTTTATCAGCTCTTTAGTATCAGTGCTCTTCAGGGTAATATGAAATAATTGATTTTCAATGCAAGGTTTTTTTATTTGAAGATTTAGATTTCGACCCAGTTGTCTTAGATCGCTTAAAATGTCTTTTATCATTTTTATTTCTCAATATTTCCCCGATAATTGCATTGTGGTTACTAGTAGCGTAGATATCTAATAACTTCCAATTGCAAATTTATCTGATGAGGCTATTGCTGACAAAAGTAAGGTTTGTTATTGAACTTGCTGAAGGTTGGCTTTTCATCTCTATTTAACAAAACCACATCTAATGCAGTAAAGGCCTCTAAAAGTGCTTAATCTCTTTCGCTAGTCTACTACCCCAGTCTTCTGCACATGAGTTGAAGTCACCGGCTATGAATGTGTGTGTTTATAGTGTGTATGTGTATATGTATTAATTGATAATTATACAATCTTTTGTCCACAATTGTGAGAGCACAGATCAACCGTTTCAAATGATAAAAAAATGAATGAAAAATTGATTTGTATTGACAATTTGAAAAAAGTCAATATTTTTAAAAAATCTCAAAATTTTCAAAAATCATTTTTTTTTTTAAAAAAAAATCTTTTTTTAAAAAAATAATTTTTGGTACGCAAAGTTTCAACAATTTGCCTTAAGGCACTTGGCCTTAAAGATTTTGGCAAAGGCATTTTGCATTTCGGAGATATGGGACAAAACGTGCCAGAAATTACAGTTTTTGAGATAACGGAGCGTCCGATTTAAATAATTCAAAAACATTTTACTTGTATTGACGAAATAAACAAGTGGTGAAATTTTTGTAAAGACAAATCTAGCATCTCTGGAGATCCAATGAAAGAAGTAAAAAATAATACCATTTGGCGGTCAAAAAGGAACATTAGACATATGTACATCGTATTATCAGATATTTTATAAAGATTATAATAATAAGAATAAATTTTGTGTACATCATTGTTTACACGTTAGAAGACTACGAGGTGCTTACGCGCTTTGATATTTTGACACCAGATCAGCTATGCAGCGCGATTGGTTAAAAAAATGTTCAAAATTTTCAAAAAAAATCAAAATACAAAAAAATAAAAATAGAACAAAACAATTTTTTTAAAAATTTACAAAAAT